CCTTCTCAGCCTGTCTTTCCCTCCCACCCTCTCAACCCCAGCACTCCCAATTCCTTCCACTGGCCAGCAGCCACTTTACATGTCCACTGTCCTCCCAGCAGTGCCAGCTCCCGGAGCGTGGGACTCAAGGTCTGGTTCCGCCAGACAGCCTCACAGAGCAGGTGCCCAGCAGGTGCCTCACGAACGACCAAGAGGAGCCTTTCTTCCTTTTCACTGCTGCAATGCCTGAGCCTCTCTCAAGTTTATTTACTTCCTTCCTTCAGCAGAGGGAGTGCGCGAAAGCAAGCAGGCATGAGGGGCAGCATGCTTACAGGGTCTCCACCTGATATGAACCCCAGCCCCACAGCCGGCTGGGGACAGCTGCACACGCGCACCCTGTGCCGAGGCAGCCTGGATGTGCAGAGCTGGAGCCTTCACGTGTCCCCAGCATCACGCAGTGACACCTCCCTGGCCTGCACCTCAGGCTGGGTCCCCAGGGCTTCCTACCACAGCAGTTCTTTCTCCCTCTCATCTGCAGACGCTCCTCCCTCTCCCCCTGCACCATCCGCACCAGGCCCTCACTCCTTGCCTGGATGTCTTCGGTGCCTCTCCTACTCCCAGTCTTCAGCTCTCCAGAGCCCCAGCTCCAGCCCAAAGTGTAAGAACCCAGCCATATCCATGCCCTTCCAACCAAGCCCTTGCCTGGGAGTCTCGCACTCCCTGGTCCCTCCATCCCTCTGTCCTGACTGCCAACTCTTCCATGGAAACACCATAAAACATGAAACTCCATCTCCTAAGCATCTCTGGAAACATCCTTCTCCCCAGCCCCACCTGCACCACCTCATGTGATTACAGACGTCTCAACCAGGCTGAACAGGCACAGATCTGAGCTGCTGCTCTCCCATCTACGCACACACAGTTTTCTTTTCTTTTCTTTCTTTCTTTTTTTTTTTTTGAGCGCATGCGCTCGCCAGATAGACAGAAAGACAGAAAGCAAGAAATCACCCCCCAGGGGGCGTGGCCATGCCGCAATCCCTTCTCCATTCTTCTCTCGGGATCTTGGGGCACGCAAACGCGCCTAGTGTGAGTTTAAGTCACTGGGTCCAGGACGGGAACCGCAGTCGACTACATGGGAGTCCAGCGACATAGCCATTACGCTAACTGCTGGTCCCCACAAACCATTTTCTCATGAGAGCATCTGTCTTCTCACCCTGTTCTTGACGCCCTGCCTCGCTCTGCCTCTCCACACCTATCTCTACTCCTTTTCTCCACCTCTTCCTGAGAGCCTTCCCAGACCCTGGCAGGGGGAAAGGTAGGCCAGCTGCCCCATCACCACCCCCACCCACCGAGGACATGTGCCTTCACTCCAGGGCACTGACCATTCTGCCCCTCCACGGTGGCACCTCGAACCAGGGCTGCCCACCGCTGAGCTTCCTGAAGGCTGAGCAAGTGCAGGCTGAGGGCTCCAGGCCCCCCTGGTGGAAGGCGCAGCTGGTGTTGGCTGGGGCCCCGGACCGTGTAGCTGACCGACTCCAAGGGCCACTCTAGACTGACCTGAAGAGGGAGATAGTTCAGGCTCAGCGCCTCCGTCCACGCACGGTAACCAAGGAACACGAGGTTGCATTTATTGGCCACTTCCACGGCCCTAAGCCCTTTATGCCTATTACCTCGTCAATCCTCCCAATAGGCCTGTGAAATAGGGGTCAGCATTCCCCCCATTTTACGGTCGAAAAAACAGAAACACAGAAAGTAACTGCTCAAGGGCACAAGGTTGGCACGCAGAGGGGCTTGGCCCTGCCGGCCGGGTCCACAGGCCGCGCGTCCGTAACGCCCCACTCACCGCCCCGGGCCCCGCGCCTTCCAATCCACTGGCCCCGCCCGCCCGGTCCCCCAGGCCCCGCGTCCGTAACGCCCCACTCACCGCCCCGGGCCCCGCGCCTTGCAATCCCAGCCGGAAGTGCCCGGGCCGCTCAGGGTCGGCGCTCGGCTGCAGCCTCCGCAGCCTCGCCTCGGCGTCCGGTCCGGTGCCCAGCGGCCTCACATTGGCGTCCACAGCCAAGAGCACCAAGGCCTGGCCCGCGT